GGGAAGAATCATAAGGGAAAAAATCATTTAAAAATAGTATGTGGAAAGTTTCCTGAGGCTGTAAATAGTTGTCACGTATTGAGCTTTTACTATTGCCAGACAGGGTAACACATACTTTCTATTCATTTTTGTTTAAGTTTGCCTCTGTTGTAGTGTCATTGTTACCATCATTTTACAGATGAGGAAAGGGACTCAGAGAATCATGTATTTCTTTAAGTGCCTTTTGAAGCACCTGTCACTTGCCACTTACACATTATTGTAAGCCCAACAAATATGTTGCCCTACCCTCATGGAACTGAAATTCTAGTGGGGAAGACAGGCCCAAATCAAATAACCACACAGATAAACATGATATTCACAACCTGTGATTGTGCTGTGACAGATAGATCCATTGTGATGCAGGATACTAATGGGGTACTTGCCTTGAATGGGAGACAGGACAACTGCCCTGAGGGATAAGTGATACTTGAGTTAAAATCCGAGGATGAGTAGGCGTTGACAGTGCCAGTGGTGGTTGGCAGGTTGGCAGGTAGAGAGCATTCCCTTGGAGAAACTGGCAATGAGATAGCACAAGGACAGAGAGATAACTGTCCCCTCCAATCCATTGTCTAGCCAATGAGGATTGACATCCACTGTTTTTACTCTAATAGGAGGAAGCTGACAGTAGGTGAGCATAACCTCAGTAAAGCAAATGGCATACAAAAAGACCAGGTGTGTGGGATGCTAAGAGGAATGGGTAGACTAATTAGGAGCCTGTTTGAATAGGAAAAAAGGCTCAAATTATGGTAGTAACAGTCTATGTGGGGGTGGGGGGAAGGAGCAGGAAAGGCAGGTATTTGGAGGAAGGCATCATGTCAATGAAAAACACTCTGCCCCACTGCCTCTCTGTGAATGGAATTCTAACTCAAGTTTCCTCATCAGTGAGATGGAAAACTCGCACAGACCTGGGTCTGACTCCTGAATCTTTGACTTTACTAGTTGAGTGACTTTAGGCAAGATAGTGAATTATCTCTACTTCAGTTTCCTTGTTGGTGATTACTATTATTAAGGATGCAGAGGGCTAATGCTTATGAACTGTTTAGTACAATATTTGGAAGATGGCAAATATTCCATAAATCTATCTATTATTATAACAGGTAAGAATTTACTGTTGTAAATAAATTTGTTAAAGTCCTGGGATTTAGTAGAGGAATAAAGCCAGAGAGATGGTGTTTCTCAAAACTGTTTAAGGGCCTCCTTCTCGTTCTTAGGGTTTCTCCTCTAAATCTACTGCCCACAATCCCCAAACTGTCAAGTCCTTTAGCGCAGGGACTCTGCCATCCATTTCCTCCTGCTTATGGCAGTGCCTGGCTCCCAAGTGATGGTTTTTGCCTGGTGATGATATTTGAAGCTGTAGGAGGGCATGAAATTGCCAAATTGAAGAATGAAGCGCCTGGCCGTGGGAAACACCTGTATTTATTTACAGTGGAGAGAGAGTAAGCCACTGCTGCCAGAAAAACGAGGATAGTCAGTCTCTACAGCCCGGGATGAAGGAGAATTAGTGCATCAAAGTCTGAGAGGACAAGGAGACAAGAAAAAGAACCAGAAGTGATGTGAGAGTATTGTCTCTCAGAGAGAGAAGTTTCAGGAACTCATACGGTAGCATCCAGCTTGAAGAATTAAAATGTAGGTGGTGGTGAGGATGTGGGAGCATTGGTTGCTGAGTGCATGGATTTTTCTTTCAAGAAATCCATGGTAAAGGTAAGCAGAAGGAATATTTGCTTTAATAAGCCATGGGCTTAAGAAAATTTATTGTTGTTGGTTTTATTGTTCTTGAGGAGTTGAGGGAAATGCGGGCCATGTAAGAACTGAGAAAGAGTTACAGGGTACCTTGGAGGTGGCAGGGTTCTGGAGGTCTGCATTACCCAGACTTGAATACTCATCCCTGCATGTATAGGTAGAAACAGGCAGAGCGGACTGAACTGTCTGCTCTTGTCTTCCTCTCTGCATTTTTAAAGCTTGTGGTTCACAGAATGTAGCACCTACAGTGTGGTCTTGCTCAGGGTGCCCAGAAGAGAGTTGGAGGCACTGTGACAGGAGCTGCATGAAGGCAGACATGAATGTGCTCACAAGAATGAAAGCTTATTCATTTCTCCTCTTCCCAGCTGTCTCCATGTGATGCATGTACATTTTTGAGGCTTAACTGTCTTTGATAGTTTTATGATAATTTATGTTTTTTAAGTGTGGGTGAGTTGGCAAGTGATCACATTGGTTCTAGTTTGTTATGAATAAATAGTATGTCAAAGTTTTATGCCGTTTCAAAAATGTTATTTAGAATAAAACTTCCTTTGAAGCCACAATAGTCTCTTACTCAAAATATTTATTTAGACCATATTGTTTAAATATATATAAATCCCTTAAGGGACAATTGTAGTCTATATAAATCTGAGTTTAAAGCAAATAGACCTTCTGGAATTCATAAAAAACAAAATGGATATTCCAGTGCTTAAGTGTTTATATACAAAAGGAGTTGAGGTGTTCCAGTGTTTGTGTGTTTAGGTACAAAAGAGGCAAATTCATGAGAAGGGATGATGATCTGAAAAATTTAATTCCCAAGTGTACCAGATGTATAAAGTTGTATAGGAAGACAAAATATTTGAGTCATATTTTAGTTTAGAGAAAGTGAAGGAATGATTCAACCAATTAAAAAAAATATGCATAAAAATAAAGCAAATTCACAGTTTCTTAATTTGTTCCGGTCTTGCGTATAATAAAAATTATAATTTAGCTATAAAGTTGATAAAAGTGTGCTTTAAACACAACACAAATTAGGATATTTTTGTCAAATAATTAAATAGAATAAAATGAGTGATTTAAGGTATTTATGCATTTTATGCCGGAGTTTATGTTTAACTGCCCTTGAAAGAGCATGTCTTTTTATTGACCCTTCCTTGATTTTGGTAAAGCAGAAGGTATGTTTCTAAGCCTTTATGAAAGCTTTTATTATTGTGCCTTAAATTACATAGATTCAGTATTTTAATGCCAACATAGTTTCCATATCTGAATTTATATTAGTTAGTTTGTAAAGTGCCTCGTTTTTAGTAGAAACACTGTCCTCTAAACTTTTTATTTTGGTCATAGAATCAAGGTATAAGTTCATTAATTAATGAATATGTTATTTAGAGAAACCATTTCTAACCCGGGACGTTCTGATAAATTCTCAGCCAATAAATTATTGAAATTGAAATAAGAACTTATGGGTGAAATGTCTCCCCTTATATCCTAAAAATTCCTTTAATCACCAGTATATGTAGCAAAGTCTCACAACCTAGCTAATATGCAATAGGACTGTTGGCCTCAGAGGAGAGATCCTGACATACCAGGCAGAATATATAATTAAATATTTCCCTAGTGCTACACAGAAGTGCAAATTGGGCATGGGGGGTGGGAGGGAGGTACGAATGGAGTCTGCAGTGAGGACTCGAGCATCTGAAACCAAATAGGGACCCATAGATTTACTGTTAATTAATGGAAGAGAAATACTTTCTACTTGCCTGATGCAAAGCATAGGGAACCGTAAAAGCCCACTCAGTCTTATTCTTTGTAAATGGCATTCATCCCAACCATGTTAACAATATCTAAAATATTGTTGCAAATGAGACAATTTATATAAAAATCCAAAGGGTTCCAGAAATATGGGCATCTGGAGCTGTGTCAGTGAGCATAGCTTTCAGGCACAGAGCTGCAGTTTCAGGTGTCTATACCCACCCTCCCACCCCAAAATCAGTAATCATTGATTGCATCTAAATCTGCTGAGAGATCTATTCCTGGCAGTTCAAGTAGTTACAGTAGATTGTTAATCTGTGAATGATCAGACCAAATCCCTTCTGTCTTCAGAATTTCCATGCAAATTAGAATTAAATGTATGAGATAAATTTATTAACAGTAGTCTGGGAGCATAGGTCAGTTTCAGCATAATTCTTAAACATGGGTTTTTATTCATAAAAAAGTTACACTCCATTTATGCTAATTTTCTATGGATTTCACTTTATAATATAAATTGAGATGATTTTTTTTTTTAAGTGCCTGAAAAGAAATAAAAGATTTTTTTGAGTGTGTTTTACAGTTTTCTACAATACAGTTGTACTCTTCCAGGTATAAGATGTTTCTGTAAGTGGCTTTTTCTATTCTGCATGTGATCTAAAACAAAATTTAAACTTATTTTCTTATATCACTGCTAAAATAAAAGGATTATTTTTTGTTTCTCAAGACAAATGAAAATAAATTAATAAATTTTGAAAAACCACAAGGAATTGGGATGTGATAAATAGTAACACATATGTTAGGTCTTATTTGGTAGTGGAGTGTCTTTTGAAACATACCTGAAATATAAGCAAATAATTGAATTCAAATTCAGCAGAGGAAAAGTAATTTTCTAATAACAATATCTGTTTGCCATGTTTTACTTTCACAAACATTTTACCTGAACATTTTTAGAATGCATTTTTTTCATTACTGACAAGTGGATAAACTTATAAGGAAATATATATTAGCAACATATTTTTCTCTTTTGAATTTCTAGTGTTATAAATACAGTATTCATACAGAATATGTAATGTTTTAGTTTATTCTACATCGTTAAAGATTTCTGTAGGGAAGGAGAAGAAATTATCTATTGGGTACAAGGTACACTATTCAGGTGGAAGGACCACTAAACTCCCAGAGTTTACCACTATGCAATACATTCATGTAACAAAACTGCGCTTGTACTCCCTAAATCTATTTCTAAAAAATTAAAAAACGATAAAGGTTTCTATAAATGGCATAAAATAAAACATGTTGGTGAATAAACTTTGTTTGCCTTTATTTATAAGAGATTTTGATACCCAAATATATTTTTTAAACTTTCCCCTATCATCATAAAGCCTTTAAAAATGGAAATGGGCGTTATTTATTAAAATGGGGAAAAATATAATGCCGTTGAACAGATGCTGATCATTTCTTCCCCCTTTATTTTTCAGGCCATCCGTTGCACACTGGTAAACTGCACGTGTGAATGTTTTCAGCCAGGGAAGATTAACCTGAGGACTTGCGATCAGTGTAAACATGGCTGGGTGGCACATGGTGAGGAAAATCTGGGCTTGTCTTCTTGCTCTTGCTATGTTCATGTGAAAGTGTGTTTTTATTTTAGAGCAGTCACTGGCCTGGGGAAGAGAGAGGTCAGCTGCACTCCAAGTATTAGTTGATATTCAGCCTGTGGCTCTCAAATAGCATATGCTCTGCTCCAAGAAGCGAGGCTACCAAGCAGCTCTCGGCAGAAGGGTGAGACGTTTACGGGACATTTGGGCTGCGGGATTCTTACTGAGCATAGGAGCAGCCAGCAAGCACCAGGCCCGGTGGAAACGCAAACATACCACAGTTGGCCTTTCAGGGCCTGGACCTCAGAGGGAAACTGGCAGATCGTCATGGCTTAAGAACTCCTCAGTGCCTGCTCAGCCTCGTCATACGTGTTAGGGGCTGAGTTTATCCTTCCAGATGTTGAAGTGTGTATGGTCTAAGATGGGCAAGAGAGTGAACAGGAACGTTATTTGGCCAGTATCTGAAAAAACAGTCTGTTCATACCCCCCTTTCAGTGTGCAGGGATGGGAGGTGGCTGATATAAGTAGAGAGTGAGCTCTGTGTAGGTGTGTGCAGGGGGTGGGGTGACCCAGAGGAAAGGATGTGAGTGTTGAGGCTTTTTGCCAGGTGCACAGAGCCAGTCTGTCAATGTGCCACAACTGAGAATTCAACATATTCTTGCATATGGTTCACGTTTATTGTGATTAAGCAGAAGGACGTTTGGAAATAAGCAGACATTTTTTTTCCCCCCCACCTCCTAGATTGTAGAATTTAAAAAGATAGGTAAAGTTTATAAAAGAAATCCTGGCTGGAGATTTTTTGACAGCCTGGGGTACTGGCTCTGCAGTGGACATATTCTTCATTCCCAAGGTGTGCCAAACATCCAGTGGGTTGTGTTTTTCTAAATGTCATGTTATTCTAGCAAGATCTGAGGTAACAGTGTTGGGCCATGCCTTGAAATGCTTTTAATTTATCATGTACCTTGCTGGTTAGGGCGTGTGTGTGTTGGAGTTGCAGGGACATTTCAGCTATGTTTCTGTGAGAGAGTAGTGTAAGAGGAAAACATTGGGAGGAGTGTGTTTCCACCATGCAGCCACAATCACATAATCCCTCAGTGCCCTCAGGATGGAACTCTTTCCTGCCTCATTAACAAGGCCAAATCGGTAACAATTCTGTCTAGTCTTGATCAACAGACGAGTCAGTGTTAATGTTCGTAGCCTATGTGTGTTACTACATTCAGTGATTTCTTCTCTCTTCCTGTATTAGTTTGCTAAGGTTGCCATAACAAAATATCCAAGGCAGGGGGACTTAAACAACAGAAATTTATACCCTCAGCATTCTGGAGACTAAAGTTTCCAGATCCAAGTATTGGCAGCATTGGTTTCATTCTGAGACCTCTCTTTCTGGTTTGTGGATGGCCACCCTCACATAGCCTTAGCCTCTGTGGGCCCATGCATCTGGTGTCTCTTGTGCACCCAGATTGCCTTTTCTAAGAACACCGGTCAAAAGAAGTTAGGGCCCACCCTAACGAGCCCATTTTAACTTAATCACCTCTTTAAAGGTCCTGTCTCCAAATATAGTCACATTTCAGTAGGGGTTACAGCTATCACCTATGAACTTAGGGGGAATACAATTCAGCGTATAACACTTCCCAAGCATCCTTCTTTCCCTGAAGAAGTATTGTCTCTGCTAGGTGATAGGTACAGAGCTTGTGTCCCAAACACATGAAGAATCATGAGGTCTGGAGGCATGGAGGGATGGTTATGGATTATTCTGAGGTCATATCCTGACTCTGCCACTCCAGTGACATGTTACTCAATATCTCCGGACCTCAGTTTCTTATCTGTAAAATAGGGTCAATAATACCTACTTTGCTGTCTTATTCTGAAAATTAAAGATAAAATATATAAAGCCTTTAATACATAATTCATGTTAAAAATAAATTGGACAATAGATGAGCCTTAGAAGAGGGTCAGTCACTAGACAAAAGGCTTTTCATTTGTTCACTCTCTCATTTTTTTCCAAAGCCATCTTGTATTATCATCATCTATCTACCATGGTAGCCTTGTGAGTCTAAAAGTTGACTGTGCCACCAGAGTTTGTTTTATCTATCCACATCCCATATGCATATTCCATTAGTAGCGAATTTTTAAAGAAGCAATATTTCTTCCTTCTTGAACAACATAAATTATTCCTGGCCAATGATTGTTCTGAAGACTTTCTGAAGAATGGGGGTTTTTCACCCAACCCAAATAAGATATTTCTGTTATACCAGACTGTGCTTTTCCTACCGTACCATTAAAAATTCTGTGATTCTGGGATAGTAATTTTAGGGTTTCTCAGGTATAAATAAAGGGAATTCTAGTTATTTCCCTCACAGTTATCATCTTGACCTCTCTTCTCCCCCGCAACAGGTATGTATCTGTATACAACACATACACACTGGTATGCAAATCCAATTCTTCCTCCATTTAGTAGGGCAAATATGACTGAGGTTGGCTTCTAGCCTTTGAGTTGGCAGTGGGAGGAGAGCACCCACTCCTTTTGCCCCCCAGCATTTCAGCTAATTGCTTCATTCCCTCCCTTTACACAGAAACCCTGATATCACGTCTCCAATTATTTCTGCTCAAAGGGAAAATGCAGCAGTCTTTCTGGCTGCCTTACACAGCACAGTGTCCTGCGTGTGGGACGCGGAGGAAGTGACATGGTTTTTCTAGGGTGTAATTTTTCTCTGAGCACCAATAAGACTACAGGGACACTTTTCATAGAATTGGTTCATGTTAGCCCTAAACACACTATCAATTACCGTTATTTTTTAAAAATTAATATCTGCTACTAAAATGTAAACAAATGCCAAAATCAGGTGTTATTTTTAAATTGAAGAATTTTTAGAAATTTGTTGACCTCTTTTGAATATGTCTTTCTATATATCTTTTGTTAGCAGCATCTTTAATTTATTCCTAAGATGTTGGATTCCTGGGCCATTATATAACATACATATGCACATGTATGTCTGTATGTATGAAGTTATCAACACACACGCACACACCATTGCCTTACAGTTTGCTTCTCAAGCCTGCTTGAATTGTTGACAGCTTCTTTATAAAAATCTTTATAAGAATCTTTTTTTGTTTGTTCGGCTGGTTTTTTTGAGTGGGAATCTCACTTCATCACCCAGGCTGGAGTACAGTGGCATACTCACAGCCAATCCAGCATCGACCTGCTGGGCTCTGGTGATCCTTCCACCTCAGCCTTCCAAGTAGCTGGAACTACAGGCGTGCGCTGCCACACCCAGCTGATTTTTTATTTATTGTAGAGATGAGGTCTTACCAAGTTGCCCAGGCTGGTTTTGAACCCCTGGGCTCAGACAGTGCTCTCACCTCTGCCTCCCAAAGTGCAGGGATTACAGGCTTGAGCCACTGTGCCCGGCCTAAAAGATGTTTTAAAAAATGAAAGAGAGTGATAAATTCATTATACTTCAGTACTTGAGTTTTGAAATTACTTAGTGGATCATGTTACTTTTCATAAATTACTTCCTAGAAATCTTTAGCACTATTGGGGGAACAAATCCCAAAACTGTTCTTTGAATTCCAGTAGACATTTCCTAATGAATTAACACAGAAGTTCCTACTTTTACCCTCCTGCTAGGAGTTTCATCTCTTTCACTTTAATAATAGAAAGCAGTGCCTGTTGAATTTAACTTTATTTAAAACAATTTTTTTTGTTGTTATAGGATGGCCATACTCTAGTCTATGATGACTTAGTTGGTAGGCCAGCAATAGCTCAAAATTTCTAATTTTGTTATGTTTTTGTTCCAAGTTCTTGGATAAAAGACTTCAGTCATTTGCCACTAAATTCACTTAACTACTATATGTTTAATCTCCCATGTGCATTGTCTTCTCTGTGCTTTTCTTTCATTCACCTAAAAAGATTTGTTTACCTCTTAAAAAACAACAACAAAACCAGTTTCCTACAAATCCAACTCTTTTTGGTTCATGTACCAAAATAAGATATTAGGATAAGAGTGGTAACGGGCTTCTTTTCTGCTGTTGTAAATGTTTGTTTGTTTTAGTAGAAATTTAGTTTGCTGTGTTTTTACCCTTTCTCCCTCTGCTGGAGTAGTAATTTGACCATTCACAGAATTGAGACTTCAGCCAAAGATTTATGTAGTCTTAAAAATTAGCCAGTATTACTATTATTGTTTAATATTTGCAAATTTATTTTAATGTCCCTAGTCCAGATGAAGGCTTTATTTCTAAACCATTACAAAGAAGGTTAAAAAAAATTTTGACAAAAAAATCAATTAAATCCTAAACAGTTTGGAGAAATATTTAACAATAATCCAGGACAATTGGAAAATTGTTTTTTGGTTTTTTTCATGATGGTGTATATTTGATTTGTGTGTTTGATAAAAGAGGTGCAGAGTTTAGAAAGGTTATTTATTTAGATTTTTTTATCTTTTACTGGATTAGTAATTTTTACTTTTGATGAAGCCCATGTGTTAACTACCCCTTTTCTGGACAAAAGAAAAAAAAAATTAAAGTTACCCAGTACCGCTGTTTCTAGATATGTCAGGTGATCATTTGGCAAAAATATGAGGCATGATGAATAGAAATTGTGTTATACAGCTTACTGAACCCTAGAGCAGTTTTCTCAGTGCAAATTATTTTCTTCAAGGAATACTTTGACTTTAAATGAAAAGGATGTGCCATTCCAACAGACTGCATGAATGCTAGAACTTTTGTTCACTTCCAAGAGATCTGAATTAACACTCTTGTTATTTCCTTTGGCCTAGGCTTCCCTGCAAGAATGCTTGTTGTGCTGGAATTCTTGAGACTTTTACTTTATTGTAGTCTGTAAATGTGATTTCCTTTTACTCCTTGCAGTTCATTCAAGGAAAAGAGAGTTTTATATTTTTACTTTAATTATTTTCTCATCAAGCCAGAATTTTTTCTGCCTGTATTTTATCCAAACTCTTCAGATTTTTACATGTAAAGTAGATTTTA